GCTGCCTTGGAACCCAGCCAGGAGGAACCTCCTGCAATAAATGACAAATGAAATGGTTTCCTGCCTGGGAACTGTGTATTTAAGATTGATTAGCAAGCGTAACAACCAGGTCAATTTAACTTGAGGGAAGAGATTACCTGCCCTTTCCCGCTGGTGTAAAGCCCTTCTCCCTGGCTGATTGGGTTTTTAAACTACCTTATTTCAATGTTTCTTGTAGTTGCTACTTCAAGACATAATTGGCAGGTGAGCTAACTCCATTTGGCACCAAACCAGAGCTTGGAGTTAACGTCACTTAGGAAGCCATTTTTGTGTTGGTTATAGAACAGAGAAAAGCAAAGAGTTTGAGCAGATCCACAGCAGGAAGATTACATTACCTCTGACAGGGCACTAGGGAAATTATACAGATAACCCTTCTCACTTTGACACCAAATAAAAACTGACATGTACTTGTGGAAAGGAAAGATCCAAAGCTTTCCAACATATAAAACCTAAACGCTGTTCTTATTGGTGACTTAGTAATAATCATTCTTAGACCCAAGTTTACTTTTTTTGTTAATTAATAAAATTCATTTGCTTTACATGGTTGAAGCCAGTAGTTGACTTCAAGGCTATTAAGGAAGCAGGTATGAGCAGAACATGAAGCTGGAGTATATATAAAGTGCTTTGGAAGCTTGTCATCTAATGTGTTGGTGGGAAACACCAACAGGATACACATTCAACCCCCTATGAAATAAGAGAATCGTTTTGACTATATGAAAACTAGGAGGTATTTATTAAAAGGAGAAATAGAGGGACCAGCAGTTAGCGTAATGGCTATGTCACTGGACTCCCACGTAGACGACCACAGTTTGCGTCCCAGACCCGGTGGCTTAAAACTCACGCTGGGCGCTTGTGCGTGCATGCCCAAGATCCCGAAAGGAGAATGGAGAAGGGATTGCGGCATGGCCATCCCCCTTGGGGGGGGTGATTTCTTGCTTTCTGTCTCTCCCTGTCTGTCTGGCGAGAGCACACACCCTATAGCAAAAACCTCTTTAAAAAAAAAAAAAAAAAAGGAGAAATAGAGAAGAGAAAAGGACAAAAGAAATTTGAGACTATATAGCTAAGATTATACATGTGGTTAGAGTTTTGAAATTTCTCCTAGCTGATTCTTCATGAGCCTTGTAAAAGTTACTTATTTTATTTGATCTTCTGTTCTATTCTTATGTAAAATCAAGCTATCAATAGTCTTTTTAAAAGTGCTTTTAAAAATTCCGTAAATTTAAAGGCTATCTAGAAATGCTGAAATTTTACAAATCATTTTATGAACCAGAGTACTTCTAAAAATGTAAAAAAAAAAAAAAGAAGAAAGAAATGTGCTAATATAATAATGTATTATCAAAAATGTACATAGCCAGCACTAATACTCATGTCTTACTACCACTTTAATGTGTTCTAAATTATTTTCTTCTTCCCTTTTTTTTTTTTTTTTAGAGGTTTTTTTGCTATAGGGCGTGTGCGCTTGGCAGAAAGACAGAGAGAGACAGAGAGACAGAAAGCGAGAAATCACCCCCCAGGGGGGATGGCCACACCGCAGTCCCTTCTCCTCCATTCTCCTCTCGGGATCTTGGGCACACACGCATACATGCTCAGCGTGAGTTTAAGCCATCGGGTCCGGGACTCAAACCGTGGTCAGCTACATGGGAGTCCAGCGACATAGCCATTACACTAACTGCTGGTCCCTATTTTCTTCTGTTTTTGAAGAAAAAGTATTGATACTCTATTTCTACTATTGCTGGCTTCCATGGTTCTTGATGTTCCTTGATTTTCAATCTTAACTCTTTATGGCCAGGCAGTGGTGCCACAGCACATTTGGACCTGTATTGGTGTGAGTTTTAGTCTCCAGGACCAGGACTCAAATTGCTATTGGCTATGTGGGAATCCAGCACCTTAACCACCATGCTACCACTGCTAGCCCCAAGAGTGTAATTTTTAGCATGTCATTTTCACTTAAAGTTGTCTTTGATTCAGTTGTCTCTTTATAACTGCCTACCCTAGACATGTTTAAGAATCTTTGTACAACAGATTTGAAGTATATACTGATATAACTAGGGTTAATAGGGCATTTCAAAGATATTCTACTGAGGCCCAGCAGGTGGCATGGTGGTTGGGGTGTTAGACTCCCACATGACCAACTGCAATTTGAGTCCCAGACCTAGGGGCTTGAAAATCATGCTGGGCTTACATATCCAGAATCCCAGGAGGGGAATGGAGGAGAAGGGATTGTGGTGCATCCATCCTCCCTGGGAAGTGATTTGTCATATTTCCTCCCACTGTTTCTCCAGTGAGGGTATGAGGATACATGCCTTATGACAAAACCTTGGGGGAAAAAAAGTGGGTCAGCAGGTGGCATGGTGGTTAAGGGCACTGGGCTCCCATATGGCTGACCGTGGTTTGAGTCCTGGACCTGGTATAGCTTGCTTTCTTACTTTCCCTCTCTCTCTTGCTCTTGTTCTCTCTCTGTCCCTCTCTGATTAAATTTAAATAATGAATGAATGAATGAATGAATAAAATTAAATAAGGACCAGCAAGTGGCTTGGTGGTTAAAGCACTAGACACTCCCACATGGCTGACCGTGGTTCGAGTTCTGGACCTGGTGGCTTGCTTTCTCACTTTCCTTCTATGTATCTGTTTTTTCTCTGGTCAAATGAAAATGAATGAATGAATAAAATTAAATAAGTAATTCTATAAATAAATAAAGTTAAATAATTCTTTTTAAAAAAAAACTTGGAAAAAGATTCTACTGAAATTGAGATTTCTTTTCCTAAGCAGATTGTAACTATCATCATTAAAGTCATATGGTCTTTAGGATTAGTTTAGAATTAAGATGCTTTTGACCATTGTAAAGGGTGGAAAGAAAGACTACTCCATTGAAGGCCTGCCCTATAAGAACCACAGCTTATATTCACATTCTAACTTCTTAAAAGCTACTTCATACTATTGAAATATGACTCACATGTCTGCATGATCTGTAAAGGACTCCTTTCAAAGAAGAACCCATCAGGAACCAGCAGTTAACGTAATGGCTATGTCGCTGGACTCCCACGTAGTTGACCGCGGTTTGAGTCCCAGACCCGGTGGCTTAAAACTCAAGCCGGGCGCGTGTGCATGCATGCCCAAGATCCCGAGAGGAGAATGGAGGAGAAGGGATTGTGGTGTGACCATCCCCCCGGGGGGTGATTTCTCGCTTTCTGTCTCTCTGTCTCTCTCTGTCTGTCTGGCAAGCGCCCCCCCCCCCCTTATAGCAAAAACCTCTCCCAAAAAAAAAAAAGAAGAAGAAGAACCCATCAACATTCTCATAGTGTCTAGAGTTGATTTAACAAGCTAGTTCTTTGAGCTCAGTTGTGCCCCAGTTGTTCAGCTCAGTATGATGATCTGGCTACCTAATTGGTGTTTTTTGTTTTTGTTTTTAAGCCCAGGCAGGTGCACTGTACTCTAACAAGGCCAGTACTGGGAGTATGGCGTTTTACAAAACACATGAAGCATAATTAATTCTGTGCTAATAAGGCTATTGGCTCAGACGCAGTAGCACACACTCTAAGCACTGAACAGAGGAATTTACTGGTTAACTGAGGCTCTTGGGGTATTTTCTCAGAGAAAAGCTTGATCAACATTTGCAATTTTCCGTTAAAATGTTCACAAGTCTTTAAAATACAAAAATGGATCAGTGTTAAATTATAACAATAACTTTCTCACTGAAGGTACATCGTATAGTGGTCGTGTTAATGCTAAAGCATTTAGGGGTTCCATGTCATTGTGTCTGTAACTTCCAAATAGGTCCACCAAACACACACACAGGGAAAATATATTGATCACTGTGTTACCCTTTGAACTTCTCTGTATATTTGTCAGTTTTCATAATAAAAGTTGGGGGCGTGTATTTCACAAATAGAGAAGGTGGGAAGAGTGTAAGAGTGTAAAGTGGTCAGGTAAAAGAATAGCAGAGGCTTTCTTTTACAATTAAAATAAATAATTTACTGTGATAAAACTTTCTAATAAAGAAACTTCAGCTAAAGTTTTCTTAAATCTGTTACTGTGCTAGACAGTGGTCTCAATATGTGTCTGTGGCCAGGAGATTCCCGAGCACCTATGGTGTAGGGTGATGGTTTTTAGGTTCTGTAACTGCAGATATCAACCCTTTCAGAGTGGAGAGAGGCTCACCGCGTTGTCACCCTGTCTGTTACCCTGGCCCGGCCAATACCACAGGGCACTCACTCAGGTTCTCCTAGGTTTTCCTGAGTGGAGATAAACCATAACAAGTGTCTGGTACGCTGCATTCTGAAACCACTGTTGAAATTCAGCTCAGTATTGCTGGGGCCCTGGCTGAAAAGGTACTAGGTCTGATTAAGCCTGGCCTTGTTCAGTGTAGACAATTTCCATATCCTTTCTTCAGTCGTGAAAGATGGTTTTGGATGACTAGTCACTGTTACTAAGGAAGAAGACTGGCAACTGATTCTGTATTTTCTTCCTTTTTTACTAGGACTTCTGACCATGTTCACATTTACTCAACTTATTCTAAAGCTTTTGCATAATTTAGGTGTTCAGAATAGCTTTTCCTGCAGCATTACCTTTCACATTTCTAAGATGTATTTCTTGTCCATCATTTGAAGCAAGACTTTTAATTAATATATTTAACATGCAGCTATTGGTTCTAGCTCCTGTCATCAGTGATTCCTTGGTACACAGAAATTGTTAATTACCATTTTTTTATGGTTTTTTTCTTTAGAGAAACAATATTATAATGGAAACACAATTCTGGCGATTCCACAGCCAATTATCTCGAGAGATCGTACTCTAACCCACTCAATAATGTTCTTACAAAACATTTGCACTTGATTTTATTTGCTCAAAATCTAAAACCTATTTATTCTAATTCCACTAGCCAGTCAAAGCAAAAATTCAAACAAAGTTAATGCAAACACCTTTGCATACTTTTCTCTCCCCATAAAAAATAACCCTGCAGCACACCTGTCTGGGCTTAAAAGAGAAACCCACAGGACCTTTCAAAGGATGTTATCAATAAGTGGCAACATGACAACAATAAGTGGAAGTACTTACTGCTTTTTAATTTGCTTTTTTTTTTTTTTTTTGCATGAAAATGTATGTTTTCTAAACATTTTTCTGAATGGAAGGGTTATATAGATGTCCATCCACTCCCCAATGAATTTTTTGTGATTGACAGTAAGTCAGTTGAGAAACAAAGTTTATTTAAATGCTAGTCATTCTGACGGGGAAAAAAAAAAATGCTGTCACAATGCACTAGCTCATATAGCCACACACACACAAATGTAATTGTGTTGGTGGAGAACTTTGTTTCTTTGCTAAAAGTGTCACGTGACATTCTACTTTTCGTAATAAAGATTGTAAGCTGGGAAAAGCTTAGTTGTTTGCTGAAGTCTTTTAATAAATATTTCACACTTTGTCAGAGACAAAAAATTTGTCGTCTGGTGGATACAGTGTCTGCATCTTAAGGTGCTTTGGCAACAAAGAGAGGTAATGTCAAACCGTAGGCCTGGCAGCTCCTGTCTCAGTTGTGCTTTTGTTTTGCCTTTTAGGTATTCCAAAGGCTGCTAGAGTTCTTGGAGCAAAATATTGTCAAGGTTTGGGAAATGCTTTCTTAGAAGTAATGCTACCCCACAATAGTTGTATCTTTTCTCCAGTCTGGTGCTTTTGGATTAATATGCCAACCAAATTTGTTTAGTTACAAGTCTGTTATTAACATCATGCTTAATGATTATCAAGCCTGTGTTCTCTGGCACTTCCCCATAAAAGATTTTGCTCCTTGAGGAAATGACTCTGCCTTATACATTTCTGTGTGTCTCACACTATAGTCTCTGTATTAACTACTTTGTGCTAACCTAACTACGTATTGAGCTTTGTTGAATTTGTGTGTGTATTAAGTGTGTGATTGCTTTCACACCCAGAAACAAGAGGGGAACTTACATTAACCCTATAGTTATATTCCCATTCAGAAGGCGAAATCAGAATGAACTCCAAATTTGAAGAGAGTTGGGACATTCCATGTTTGTACAGGTATTAAAATTTTAGACTTTTGGGGGCCAGCCAGGTGACATGGTTAAAGCACCTGGATCCCACATGACTGAGTATGTGGTTCAAGTCTCAGACCTGGTGGGCTTGAAAAACACTCCAGGCACATGTGTGTGCGTGCCCAAAAATCCTGAGAAGAGAATACAGGAGAAGGGATTGGGTCGTGGCTAACCTCCACCCCCCTGGGGCGATTTCTCACTTTCCTTCTCTCTGTCTCTCTGGGAAACGCATACTTATTATACATTAAAAATAAAAAAAGACCTTTTCCCACCACTAAGTAACACTGATATGATAAGGAAAATGATTTGCATCCAGAGGTTGTATACTAGGGTAACCTGCTATCTCCTTGTATCTGTTGAAGGCTGTGACTCTCTTACGACATGGAAAAGCTTTATGTGCCTACAAACCATTTACATTTATAGTAGGAAAAATTGTTTGCCTATTTAGTATTCTTTTTCTGTAGAAAGCCTCCCTTTAATTCTGTCCTTTACAGAGTACGACTAAATGTTTTTCAGAATGAAAGCACAACATATGTCTGTCTTTTGACTACTCTGCATTCCTAAGGACTCAAGTTCCAATGGACTTGGTGCTGCTGTGGTCAGGACTGTTGAAGAGACATAAAATCCTAATCACAGAGAAACTTACTGTACCCTAGTGGGGATAGTTTTTTGGAAAAAAAAAAATCATTAGAAGCAAGGCTCTCAAATTTTACAGACCAAAATATAAAAAGTATGTGAATGAATATGTGGAAATAAGTCATTTCCACAGGGACTTGAGCTTCAGCACTAGTTTCTAGGAAGTGTGTCTGTGGCTTGCTACTGCCATCTACTGGTTCTCAATGCTTGACTGTCCCGCCACTGGCCAACTGTAATCAAGTAGAAATCAAAAGGAATTGGATCTGTTTACTAGGAATCCTTACATTCTTTGTAGGGAGTCTGAAACATCAGAATTATCATGTGGTACACACAGTGTTACAAATACACCAGTCTTTCTCCACTGTTAATCATTTGCTATTTCTGTGTTTGGGTTTCTGATCAAACCTTTTTTTCTTTTGTCATCTTTTCCTAGTTTAATGGATCGGGAAGTGGCATTGCTTGCTGAAATGGACAAAGTGAAAGCTGAAGCAAGTAAGACAATTGAATTCTTTTTCTGGTAGATTTTTTTTTTAATAAACAGTTGATCTTTAATTAAAGTTACTGACTACATGAGTAGGTACGAACCTCCCAAACCTTGTCACAAAAGCACAACATAAATGCCACAGTAAGAGTTCATATGTTTAGATCAACCATCTTGGGAGGTTATACCATACTAACAAATAACTTGGTAAGAACCTATTTTTAAAATTTTCCCAAATTTTAACATTTTGTATGCAGAATTCAGCATCAGAGACTACCTCATGGTGTCTGTCACTGTAGTATCAATCTTTTTTTTTTTTATATTATCATCATAATCTTCTTTATATTACATTGGATTACATATAACTTTACATTGACTTCCATTGCTTTTTCAAAAGGGAATGCCATGCATGTCGGTCAATAGAGACATCAATCTCCCCACTTTATCATTCAATGTCTTTTCCATGCATTTCCCAATAATTATTATTATTATTATAATTTTTTTAAAAACAGTCAATCACTATTTCTCATTTTGCTTGTTAAAAGGCTTCACCCATCATGAAATACTTCCCAGACCAGTCCAGTTGAGAATACTATACATGTCATCATCAACAGATAATAAACCATATCTGTTTCTCACTAACATCCTCTCTATTGTTCACTTGCTATCTTTCTCTATCCTCTTCTCTCTCTTTTTTTTTTATAGTTTATATTTTTTTATTATATATATTTTTTCCCATCACAACACACAAATGAATTTTCCATCCAAAATACACTGTGCATTGGCTCAATCAAGCACGTCAACATATATGTTCTCAGCAAATAATTTCCCAATTCTTGTGTCCTGCATACCTTGGCTTTTGTTTTACCATCCTAGATTCCCCATCCCCCTCCCTCTGTTATGACCCATCCTCCTCCCACATTGTCCCTGGCATCCACGATTGCCCTCCGTGCCTCCCCCCTCCCCAAATGATCTGTCAGTGAACTTAATTAGTCTAAATATACCCAATAGTTATGGCAGCTGACACATACCTGTACATGAACTCAAGTCTGACTTTAGGCCTAAACCCCAGTGAGTAAAAAGAGCATACTATAAAGTAGAACCCAGC